AATAAAAAAAAAAAAAAAAAAAAAAAAAAAAAAAAAAAAAAAAAAATTTATGTAAACTCCACCAATTTGATCAGTTGTAGTCTCATTTAAATTATTAAATATTTTTTTTTACTTAAAATAATGTTTGAAAAGAAAGGTAATTAAATAAGATTTAATATAATAGCCTTTCACAAGGAACTGACATTAATAGATTATGTTAAAATAAATCATTCTTCCTATTTTTAATTTCAAAGTTGTAGTAAAATTTATTTTTTGGCATAAATTAATAATTTTTTCTTAATTTCAGACACTCCAGAAGATATGCATTGGACAGTTGAAAGGTATTTTTTTTCTTCTCTGACATAAATTTTGTAGAGAAATAGCTCATAAAAATATATATGCTTCACATAACTTTATATTTGTTTTGAATAATAAGAAATGTACTATACGAAACATTATTATTAAAATTTACAACCAGGCTAAGTATGCAAATAATTCACTGTTATTATTAATAAAAAATCCAATTTATTTTTATTCTTTTTTCTTATTTAAAAAGATTTATTATATATTTCATTAAAAATTATAAAATTATTGATATAGAAAAAAATAACACCTATATTTCTATAAACCAATTTTTCATGCTTTAAAATTTTTGAATTTGATACTTATATTTAAAACTGCTTCGATTTTAATTATTTGAAATTTTTACCTTTTTAAAAATTTTTAAATATGTCTGAAATTTGAATTAAGTTTTTGCAATAATTACTTGAAAATTGTATGGCAAAAAATTTATTTGGGTTTTAATGTTTAAAAATATTATTGCATTTTGTTTTTATTTAATATATTACGCTACATCTTATCAAAATGTGATTTTCAGTTGTTATTGTTCATGTAGTTGTTATTGTTGATTTTACTTGGTTTTTTTTCTTAAAAACGATTTCTTTTTAGTATTTTGCCCAAATTAATATGCAGTAAATTATCTGTAGTGATTGGGATTAGACCTATCCAAGCATTTGGACTATGGAAGTAACATCAATAAATTATTAAAATTAAGGGGTTTTTTGAACGGCAGTGCTATATAGTATTTAAACTCAATTTTAATATGTCCATTTGATAAAATATTTTAGTGATACAAGTATAAATATATTTTATTTTAAAATTCACACACACATTATTGATCTCTTCTCTAAAAAAAAATTTCAAGGTGGTTTTAGGTTAATTAAAATATTTGAATGAAAGAGGATCTAAAATTTCATCATTTATAAATGCATAATTTGGAATCCATAGCACTTTAGAACACACAACACAAAAAATATTCATATCACTATTTTTGTCTTCATTTTTGGCAGGAATTCTAAATATATATTTAAGGCGGTGATTGTGGGACACCCTGTACACTCCTTTAGCATCACACATAAAAATCAATTTGTTTTTCTTTCTCTCACATAGACGATACAATGAGTTCTATGTGTTGGAAGCTAAACTTACAGAGTTTCATGGAGAACTTCCTGTTCAGTTGCCAACAAAGCGATCACAACAAAACAAAGGATTGGCCTACCTTGAGAGCAAAAGACCTGAATTTGAAAAGTATTTGCAGGTAATTTTTTTAATGTTATTATCGTCAATGACCAAATCTGAGCTGTGGTTGCTTCAACGATAGAATACTCAATGAGATGGTGTGCGGTCAAATCCCATCGATTGCTAGTCATTTTCAATTCTGCTCCTGTCTTACACCAGCTGCAGTAAAAAGTAAAGCTTTTCACATTGCTAACCTGAAATATTTTCAGTAGTAGACGAACCATGGATTAGAATCCCTTTGCCATCAGGCTAACCATGGGAAAGTTTCTTCTTCATGTAACGCAAATGCGTGATACTTCCATCAGAAAGTCTTCCTCAAAGGCCAGTTTATCCCAATGCTTGTTCCAAGGGTGACTTTGTCTTTTGAGACTGGTTCAAAATTGAAAGGCTATGGAGCTACCATTAAATAATTGTAAGGCTACTATTATAGCTGTAAACTCAAACATGAGTCAACTGTGTATCGTCAGTTACAAAATAAAATGAATTAGTCTATTCCTTAAATTCATTCTCAAAGACCAATTTCAAAGCAAGCTTCTAAAACATTGATTTCTAGCCAAATCCCGAATATACATAATTTATGCAGGAAAATGAGACATTGTTATGAAATTCTTTTCTTGCCTCCTTTATAGAAATTTTTTTTCTTGGCATTTTAAGGTTTTACAAGTATGATCGAATAAAAAACTTAGAATTGCAAATCCTGAAATTTATAATTGTGTGTCTGGGGAAATTCTAGGAATTATTTGCTCTAAATAGTACTGAAATTTTTGTAAATCATGTAATAATCTACATTACAGAAAGGATACAGCTGCAACAAAGTGTGCCAAAACATACTTCTTGCGATAAAATCCAATATTTTCTTGCGTGATTTAGTGTCAAACTGCGAAAATGTCAATCAAAATCAAAATAACTTTAAAAACAAAACCCATTGTGTGTAGATGATGATACATGTAGATGATACTCTTTTTTAATAAGTTTTCACCCCTCTGTTTTCAGTCATAGGCAGTGATGATTGTGTTCTGTATCAAAAAACTGGTAGTTTCTGTAGAGATGAGTTGATCCTTTTGCAGTGTTAGGAAAATTGATAAATTAGGCTTTTTTGAAGAAAATTCCACTTTATTTTTCTCTGCGACAATGCGATTTCCGCACTCTTGTGATGCCAATAAAAGATATTCGTTCATTTCTTTAAAGAGCTTCCCTTTTAAAATTACTAGCTAATAATCTTTATTTTCGTACATGCATTTTATTTTTGCTTCCATATGTAATGTTTGTCCAAGTTTTAAAATCGTTCAGTGTGTTAACTATATTATCCTTAATACTTAACTACTCATTATTTTAATTTTATTATAATAATCAGACTTTTATGTTATTAGCATTTCCGTTTATATAATTTTTATCATTGATAATCCAAATTTATGTTTACAGATTTGCTTATGTTCTCTTTGAATTACTAATTTTATCACAATTCATATTTTACAGTTAATATTCATGTGATCAAGGTCTTATTACTTCACATTTTTATTAATTGTGTCTTTCTATTCATATTTATTTCATTTACAAATTACATATCTCAATTTAATCACAACCTCCGAGTCACACTCACATCAACCGAATTTTATAGACAAATAACACTTAGCATATACATGCAATTAAAGGAACCGCTTGTGATTTATATTCATGCGATTTTAAAATCAAATGTTGTGATTCGTATTCACCCGATTCAAAAATCAAACATCACAATTTGTTTTTATGTGATTTAAAAATATAACAATGTAATCATATTTACACTATTTAAAAACGGCACAGCTTGATTTGTATTTCACAATTTTATATCAAATTTAGCCACTCTATTTAAAAGCCGCTTTTATGATTGATTCCTGACTAGGACTAGGCTATAAATCGATACATTGCGACATATCGATTTAACGCCTGTATCGGCAGGTTGATACACTGACTTTCGTTCCAGGCAATGCATCAGTAATCTGATTTGCCGTCGAGTAAGGAAGGCGACCGATATACGATATAGCGATACAAGACACGCAAGGATGCCAACTCGCGCTGGGGAAGGCGATGTACGTATCGTTATATTAAAACGGTCTTGATGATTGAGCGGTGGAATCAGAATCAGTTTTGAGAACATATATCATGATCTCGCATGTTCGTTTCCGCACCTCTTAGGTTTTTTTTCTCCTTTGTCGGGACTTGATATCGTTTCTTGTAGATTATTTTCAGTGGGACTGACTTTGTGATTGCTTGTTTCTTAACTAATTAGGTAAAATATTTTTTGAAACAAAACTTTCTTTTTTATTTTTAAATGTGAAAATTAAGTTTGATATTATATGTTTGAGTATTATTTTACATTATTGAATTTATTACAAACAGAAATCTAATTTAAGGTGCCCATAAAGAATTAAATTAAAAAGTAATTAAATTTGTTAGGCTATTTTTTACTTTATTTTAATTTATTAAAAACTTTTTGGATAAAATAATAATTTAATGGATTTTTATTACTGATTTGAAATTTATAAATCTTTAGTTATTTTCATTTTTATAAATAAAATTATAACAAGACTTATTTTTCCTCTTTTGGATTCGGACATAAGTCAATCAACTTTGTTAATTCAAAAAAATTAGTAATGTTTGCGATTGCGACTTCTTTTTTTAAAATCATTTAGCACTTTGTTTTATTAAAGAGTATAATCGTGTTTTTTAATTTTCTTTCAATATTGTCGGTTGAATATATTATCGAATATCATAATTCTTTTGTTTTTATTTTTAAGAAATTAAATCTTACTTTGTTTTTTCGTTCAGAATTCGGTAATTATTTAATTTAACTTTATTATTTATGTTAAATAGTAATGATAAAAAATAGCGTTTTAAAAGTGTTTTTTTTTTTTTTTGATTAATTTATTTAGCACTTTGTTTTAAGCATACAAATAATTTTTAACGAACTTTTTTTTTAAATTTTCTTTCTATATTGTTAGGTAAATATATTGATAAATTTCAATTTTATTTATTTTTTTATTATTTATCTTTAAACTAAGAAATCTTTCGTTATTTGCGCGATCATTTTTAGAAAATATAACATTAATATCTTTCTTAAGCAGAACATGTACATCAAATTCATGAATTGATTTAAATCAATCTGAGTATGAAGTTTTGATAGAAATCTGACTTTCTGCACCTTACAAATAAATGAATTTCAAAAATACTATATTGCGATACATCTCTATATCGCGATGCAAAACTGACGATCCATCACGATGTAAAATTTCTTATATCGCCCAATCCTATTCCTGACTTATGTATCAGTATTAATAATCACATGATTTTAGTATCAAACATGGAATTACTATTATTTCATATCAGGTATTTTAATTTATCTACCAACTATAAAGCTGCGTGTGTTAGATCAGTTATTCCCATAACTAGAAATTTCCCTTGGGAAAATGCTATATTTTTACTGAGACAAAGTGAGGCCAAACAGCTATTTTACCTGAGATAAAATGTCATTTCTAATTATACAGTTTCTGTTTTTGCTGTATCATCCCTGATATTAATTATATGAATTATAGATAAATCAAGGTGCAACTTTGTACGAAATTCATATCAACAAAAGTTTCTCTGGATTTATAAGTTAAATATATTTTTAAAACTTTATTTTTATCGAAGTATTATTTATGCAAAGTCAGACTTAAATACTTAAATATCCAATGACGAGCAAGGAATGTGTTACGTAAGAAATTCTGTGGGTGGGAGGCTAGTGATCACAACAAGAAGGAGCTAAAAAATAAATATGCTTTTAGTATGATGTGAAATATGTACTTATGAGTTTATAATTACATTTCTAAAGTATTTGTATTACTTTTGCAGACCCTGTTGGCCCTCCCTGGTTTGCAGGGAAGTGAGTTGCTCTTTCAGTTTTTAAAAAGTCCTGTTCTTTTCACAACAAGTTTCCTACCTGACATCAAATTGGGTATGCTATCACAATAGACCTCTTATTTCTATTTTTTTTCCTCTGTGATGTATGCAATCACAGTAGATCTGTTATTTTGGGGGTTTTTTTCTCTTATGATGTTTGCAATCACCATAAATCTCTTATTTCTGTTTTTTTTTTCTCTATGATGTATCTTACAATCAATGTAACTAAATGCATTTTTTTTTTTCATTTTATCCTTTATAGGGTATTATTTTGATCATTTTTTATTATTTTTTGTATTTTTTTTTCCTTTCTTAGTTATATTTTTATGCATTTTAATTGATTTTTTTAAAGAGCATTTTGCTTGAGAATTAGTTTTTCTCTTTCAAAATTATTGTTAATTTTGTATTGAATCCCGAATTTAAATATGTTCCAATAACAAGTGTTGGTATACATGCAATTTTTTTTCAAGAGGTGATAATTTTCTTTCGGATGAAAGAGGTTCTTTCCATTTTAATAGCATTAAAAAATTGAATATTTAATGCCGACATTCTTGAAAATTGTTTCTTAAGATTATTAAATGTTTGTTTATTTTTAAGAAAAGAAGCCAACAGTGGAGATCTATTTTCTCTTGTGTTTATTCATTTGATCATTTCTCATTGTGTTTATTTGTATGTTAAGTGCGCAGAATTTATAAGTTTGGTTATTTATGAGATCAAAAGTTAAAGATTATGGTCAATTCTTTACAGTCGATAAAATTTTGGAAATCCCATCCACCTTCCTACCAAAAGGAAATTGATCTTGAAAAGAAAAATAATTTTAGATAATAAGCTAAATGAATATCTTTTTGTAAAAAAATCTCAAAAATACTTTAACATAACATTATTTAAGAAAATGGCCCTTCAAAGGCTTAAATATTAAGTTATATCATTTAAACATGAAGTGGTTACAACCGTTTTTTTAACCATTGATTGAACCTCAAGTGCCCAGGGTTATTGTTTACCAATGAAGTTTACAAATTAAATAAGCAAAATTAAGAGCCATTGCTTAGTATACACTTGTATGATTTCCTCTACGCTACTGTTTCTTTAAAGTATTCCTTACACTGTGAGTTTCTTAAGGCAGAAGAATTTCCATGCATATGGAAAAAGTACTGTAAATCTCTTTAAATGTTACTTGGCAGATTACGGTTACTCCCCATATTTTGAGTAAATGAACCTAAATCCATTGAAAATAAGGTATGTTTATTTAAAAAAGTTTTTTTTTTGTCTAATTTTATAACTTTAAATACCGTTTGTACTGAACAGCATATTTCTGAGTTAACCCTTAAAAACTATTAAAATTTTGTGTTAGTGATATGTGTTTATTAATATGTGTGTTTGTTTTTTCTTTTTCAGGAAAAATGATTAAAACAGTACCGATGAAATTAATAAAGGAGGTAAAATACTTTTTTTTAAATTTCTTTCAACTAAATTATGGTTAATTCCTTCAAGTATAGAATCTCTCAACTCTCAAATATTTTTACTGTTATACCCTCTTTCGCTTTATAATCCACATATGTAATAATTTCTATATTGTTATTATTTTGCTTTTTTGCATTGGTTTCTTAAAACCGTACTAAAATGGTAAAATTCTAACAAGAGGCTTATTTTTGTAATTCTGCTTTTCTTACAAAAATATGTACGTAGTTAGTACTAAATCTTTCTCCAACAGCCTAAATTATTCTGTTAAAGGTAAATAAATAAAAAACCAAGAAAATCATAACATATCAGATTAAAGTCCTAAACAAATAATATTATCATCAGAAACTTCATTACTATTTTCATTGCATCTAACTCAACCAGTCTGCCAAAATTTTACCAATAAAATCCTTCTTTTTTCCAGTGTAGATTTCTTATGAATTTCTTTATTGAAAATGCTGTATCATATATGAAATAAATTTAGCATATTTTGATAAGAAATATATTTAATATGAAATATATATATGTTTCATATAAAATTGATTTTTAATATTTTTTATTCAAAATAAACATTTATAAAGTTTTTAAAAAATTATTATTTAAAACTTTTTTAAATTTTTGCCATATTTTAATTCAATCTTTTCGGCCAGATAGCGTAAAATTAAAACTTCACTTTATTTTTTATTATAAGAGCTTAATTTTTTATATCCTTGTGGAATGAACTTCAAAAAAATATGTCTTAAATTATTCAAATTTACGAAATACCATAAAAATTCTTGCAGAGTACCATCCTATGTTACGAAAAATAGATTGTTAAGAGAGGTAGTTGCTCTTAGAACTTTGAACATTTATCCAAACAAATAACTCAAAATATATAGCAAATTTATTAGTTATAATAAATAAAGTGTAAAATATAATAAATAGTAAATTCAAATCTGAATGTAGTAAATGGTTTAGCTTTTAATGTATATGTAAGGTTAAAACCTGTTTATAAAATCAGTAGATTTATGAAATCAAATGTCCCCAGAAGAGTGATTTTATAATGCCGTGGGCACTGTATTTTCGTTTTTTAAAATTTTCATTACAATCAATACTCCACACGTCTTTTGATATACATTTGCTCAAGGTTTCCTTTACACTACCTTGTATTTGTACCATCTTTTTGAGAATGTTGTTGTACCATATTAACCCACTCTCCATGGGTTTCAGCAACATTTTTATGTAAGTTTGAAGTTCTGAAACTAAATTTCATCTTTCAGGTCCTCTATTTACATAAAATTAACACATTTATAGAAGATATATCTGAAATTATAATTTAATTCTAAAAATACATGTTGCAGAGATTTTCAAAAGAGGCAAATTTCTCTGTATTATTGCAAAAGTACATACTGTCATTCTAGGTATAAATTCCAATGTTTACACTCCTATGGCGTTAAAACCTAAATGAAGAAACAAGCATCCTAAATAGTGGGAAAAGTCAGAAAGTGCACTATTTAAAGTTGGAGTTTCTGAAAAACAAAACTACTTGTATTTTTTACTATTGCTACTATTTTTGAAATTACTAAAAAACAATAAATGAAAAAGGCTCCACATTGTCGTGTTTCCAGCATTAACGACGTTGTGACTCTATAAGGGTCATAACATAAATTCCACAATTTTCTTAAAAGTATGTTCTTTTGAAATAATATTAATGTACCTGAATCATTGATTTTTTCATTTTTTTCTGTCTATTTTTTATTTATACTATTTTCTATTTGCTTAGAAAGGACAGCATTTACTTCCATTTTTGCAAGCTTTTATTCAGTCTACAGAAGCAGCTAAACCTAAAGCTAGGTACTCATTATTTTTTCCACCTTAATATATGATCTGAGTTTACTCTGATAAAATTTCAGATGTGCCTTGTATAATCAATTAACATTGTAATTATTTTTACTTCATTTGCAGTTGTCATTCATGCAATAGAATAAAAATAAAATGTTTAAAAAAGCAATGCATATAAATTTGTTTTTATTAACATAAGAATGTGGTTGTAAAAAATAATGCTCAACGCTTAATGTTTTTTCTATTCCAGTAAAGAAGTGTGGAAAGAAATTTATGAAGAGCCAAGTAAAGCATTGGGAGAAAAAGTAAATATCTATTCTGTTTGTGCTGCTTGTTATATTTTATAATCGCCAACCCAATTTTTCGAATTTGTGACTACTAATGTTCAACACCATAACCTTTTAATTTTGAAATCAATCTAGAAAATAAGGGAATTCCTGTATCATGCATTCGGAGAAATTTGTCTCTGTGGAGGACTTTTTCATGGAACTAATCTGCATGTGTGTTACATGGAGGAGAAAGCCTCCCACAGTTAGCCTGAAGTCAAGGGGACTCTAACTCATGATCTGTCTACCACTGAGGATATTTTATGTCAGCACTGTGGTCGGGGTGCAAGCCGGATGCTGAATTCATATCGATTAGCCATCTCTGAGATTCAAACCTGGTTCACTTCAGTGTTAGGTGAATGCTGTATCCCCTGAGCCATCACAACTCTACTTATTATATTACGCTTCAAAAACTTAATTTAATAAAATCAGCTTATAAAGCATAATTTTTTTTCTGCGAAGTCATAAAAAGTAAAAATTTTGAGTGGCATATGTTTCTTAAACATCTTCCTGCTACTAAGCTTCTAAAGTTGATGCTTTCTAATATCAATTCGGACCTCTTTTTGCTAACCTCTTTAATTATATTATTAGTTACACCGAGTAAGTATGTTTTGTCAATAACTATTTTTTTTCAACATCAAAGATTTTCTTATTTTTAAAATTGCATCATAAAACTTGCATATTTTCTTCTAGTTTTTGCAATTATTTTCTAATTTTGCAATATTTGACACAATTTGTTGATCACATAAGGATAATTGTTTTTAGTCCCTCACCTTCAAATAAAAAAATTAACTGGAGCTGTTCAATTCAAATTAATTGAATAACTTCATTCAAAAAAAATTTTTTTAATTTTTTTTATTTAATTTTTATTTCAATTTCACCATGAAACTCCCTTCATCTGATCTTAACTTTTTCTCCCTTTATCTTAACTTGGCATAACAGCAAATCCTTTTTGCTTTTTGTAATATTGACGAAATCAGATAGAACCTGAAATTGTCGGGGAATTTTAATTTAACTCTAAAAATCAAGGAAATTTGAAATTTTTTACAAAAAGCTGGAAAATTCCTGTTTCATACCTGAAAAATAACCAAGTCTTAGAATTTTAAGTAGCAATAATCAATTATTGAGATTCTAGTTAATTCTAACATCTATTCAGGGCTGGATTACCCATTAGACCAGACTAGGCCATGGCCTGGGGCCACCAATGATTAGGGGCCCCCTTAAAATGGATTATTTGAAAATACATTTTAAAAAATTAAGAAAAACAATGATTTTTTTAAATTTTTTCAAAATGTTATGATTATTTTTTAGTTCTAATTTAATAAAATAAAGTAAAATTTAATTTATTATTATTTGTTTTTATTTTAAATTTGCTTTCTTAAATGAAAAGATTTATAAATACTTTTATATTTGAATAAATAAAAAATATACGAGAAAAAATTTTAATCTAAGGGCCCCAAAAATTTGAATGGCCTAGGGCCCCACGTGCGCTTAATCTCGCCCTGCATCTATTACAATTATTATATAAAGTTCCATTTTTTAGTGAATTTCACTTTAATTCTAATGTGTTTTTGCTCACAAAATCTAATATCTGGAAAAGTCGAGGAATTTTTTTTTCTGAAATTGAGTGGAAACCCGGATTATAACAATAACTATCTACAAGCTCATTTTTTTCACTGTTTGAGTCTGTTTTACCACAAATAAGCTGTTAACCGTTATTTTTTTGTATGCTCGGCCCCCTGTTCACTCTGCTTACCAAACCTTATGGTTTCTTCTTATTTAGTATTAATGATTAAAGAGGAAAGAAAAGTTTCTTTCTTTTTTTTACAAAAATTTTGACTGACTATTTTCATAAAAATTATTAAACTGTTGCATTTTAAGGATTACTAAATTGTGGCAAATCAAAAACATTAAAAATCGGTATGCCCACCTACTCGAGAGTTATTATTTTGCGAAGATGGGCTGTGCTGTAAAAAAACACTTCCAGTGTAAAAATTTGTTTTCTCAGAATCAACTTTAATTTACATCACTGTTTTTCCCCCTTGTTCTTCTTAAAAGTATAAAAAAAGATCCTTTCATTTAGTAAATGTATAATTATTATAATTTTATGTAAACTCATTTTATTAATTTGTTAATTATAAAAAAATGAAAGATTGACTGGATTTAAAAAAATAATAAAATGTATTTGAAGAAAATTATACTTCGGAATAAAAAAATATGGCACATAATTAACAGTTATAGATGAAAATTTTATTAACCTTATATCATACAATAATTTGCATTGAAAACTGTTTTTATTTCTCTTCAGTTTGTATGTTTTTAAAACTTTCATTGATTAATGTATTTGTTCTTCAGCTAGTTTCAGGACTATATAAAGACAATTTTGCAAGCTTGAGTATGAAGCAAAGCAAGTTCAGTGGAGGTTCAATTGTATCCGTTGTAGACTTGAAAGAAATTTATGATTACATTTTGTATATAGGTAAAGCTCTTTCAAATTATTTCACTATCTGTTAACTTGCATGTCAGACAAGCTAAAATCAATTATCTTGTTGAATTAATTATTTTATTTTGAAGGAGCCTGATCCTAGATGACTAAACCTTCACAAGTTTATATCAGAAATAGAATGATATTTTTGGATATTCTAAACTAGTTTTGGATTGAGCACATGCGATTTACACTCCAAAACTATGCTAAAGTGCCAAAAACATATAATTCTGAAAGAAATTAACACATTTAAGCTCTAAATGTACTTATTGCATATAAGAAAAATCCTGCTATATTCTATTGATATTTAATTTTAAATATACACTCCATTGAAATCTCAGACTTCATTGTGTTAAGATTATATTACTAAATTATAAAATATATAATTGTATGAAGTTATTGTATAGAATTCAATCGGTAAAACTTTGTTCTTAAATTTCATTATAGTTCGAATATTTCCAATAAAAGCAGCTATTTCTTAAATATACTTCAAAAATATAGAATTTATAAACTTTTAAATATATTATGCCTGATAGTTTTTTTTAACTATTATGCATTGACTACATAAAACTACTCTACAGCATCTAGTTTTAAACTTTATAACAGAATAGTTGAAAACAACTGTAATTAAATTTTTATTCAAATATACAAAATACAAAAAGTGTTTTGTGTATTTGAATTTTTTTTTTTAATTTCAATTTTTAATACAAAAAGTTTCACTAATACTTAGTTAATTTTACACCATACTTTATTGCTAACTCCTCAAACTCTTAGAATTACTTAAATTGAATTTTAGGATTTAGAAGAGTTTTGGGCTGTTGACAGAATGGTTTTGAACACTTTAAGATAGTTTCAAATGAATAGATTTAGCTTCATAATTCATTAAATGATATTTCATCAAGTGAAGCTGCATAACCTTAGCCATGAACCAGTCTCATATCTTTGACTCTCATACTGCATCATCCGTTGCACATGTAAAGCAGGGATGCGTTCGAGATTTAGGAAGCATAACAGTTATTATAAAGTGTCTTTGCTTTGATTCAAAAATATCTAATTTGCTAATTTTAAATGTTTTTATTTTAACCAAACTGTAAGATGTCACACTTCTGGTTAGTCCTCCTTCCCTTACAAGCCTGACATCATTTATGAATAGCCCCCTAAACAAATTTTGTAAATTAAAAATTTTAATCGTTGGTGGACACTAATTCATTTGTTATATCATATTGCAACTGGTTCGAAGAAGGATAAAAAGCTTATTTTATTATTTTTACTATTCTGAAAAACATGATAAGCTGTTTGAATGCTCTAAATGAATAATAAATATTAGATTGCATATTTTTAAAAAAACTGGGTTTTTTTTGCAATATTACAATATGTTCATGAAATAAAATTGTGTTTATGGGGCAATCACTTAGTTTTTCCAGAAATTTGTTTTGCGAAAAGTTGACATTTTAATAATTTAAGCATAAATATCTGTTTGTTTTTTCTGAAAATTGTATTATAATTATAATATATTATTATTTTTATCATAACTTAATTTAGTGACCAACCTTCATTGAAATAAATTTTTGGATTAATCTCTAAACTGCATTTGTAAAAGTTAGTTAATGAATATTATTCATTAAATACATTAATTAATTTTACATTGGAAGAAAAATTTTAATGGATCTTATTGCTAATCAAATGCAGCAAATAAATTTTATACTATCTCATATTTTACTTAAAAATAGAAAAAAAACTATGACACAAGTTTAAAAAACTCATGAATTTATTTTGAAATTAAAACCACTAAAAAAGGGTTTTTGTTGGCATTTGTTAATCTTATATATGGCTTTAGGAAGTTTTAAATTTTCATGTGAGGTTACGTTCCCATCCATGATTTGTATGGCCATCTGCTGATAACTTCAGAAAATACAAAAGAATATCAGTGAAAGTGTTTGTTTGCATAAATGTAAATAGTAAAGGTTCGCGTGAGTTCAAGAAGGGAAGATAGAACTTACACAGAATTCATAGTTATGTACACAGAATTTATAAATTGGGTTATTTATAAGCACAGAAGTTCAAGTAAAATTAACTTAAAAATCAAATTAGTTTTAGCTAATAAACTAAATAAATTTCTTTTCAAAGATCAATCTTAATCCCAAAAATATTTTAACATAACATTAATCAGAAACAATAGCCGTATAAAGGGTTAAAATGAAATTATGATTTTATTTAGAAATCAAAAAACTTGAAATTAATTATGATATTCTTTTGAAATTAAAAGAATATCAGTGAAGGTGTTTGTTTACATGAATGTAAATAGTAACGGTTAGCGGGAGATCAAGAAGAGAGGTCAACACATACACAGAATTTATAAATTTGTTTATTTATAAGAAAAGAAGTTCAAATAAAATGCATTCAAAAATCAAATTAATTTTAGCTTGAGCTAAATAAATTTCTTTTCAATGATCAATCTTAACCCCAAAAATATTTTAGCATAACATTAGTAAAAAAACAATTTCCATATAAAAGGTTAAAATATAATTATGACTTCAAAATTAAAAAATGATATAAAAGGTTGTGATGATAGACTTGAAAATCTCAAGTTTTGTTTCTTTTTTGATCACAGCTATTGAGGTGGTTCGTGTTCCCAACTTGATCGTCCAACTGCTGGCCACTTGCGACATTCTACTGAGACAAACGCTTCAGGCTGGCATTGAGTGGTACCTGGATGTCAAACTGCAACAAGCATTCAAACCTCAGCGTTTAGCACAACTTTTGAACTTGTTAAGAGGTAAAAGTTTATTTTTGGAAAATGTGTTTTGAGATAATTAATGTAATTTAGTTGTACCTTCATAAATATTTGCCATTGATTCCCATCTCAAGTACAGTAAAACTTTTATTATCTGGTTTGAATTATTTATTACTTTGACTAATCAGTCAGATCTTCTCCTGTATTATGCTTTTTCTAACTCATTGAATATTAAGTTTGAGGTTGTGGCATTTTTTATGAAAAAATTTCATACCTATTATGTTTTCAAAAAAGAAAAGTATTTTGGAAGTAAGGTTGAAACTAAACTTTTTACTTGCTCTTTTCTTTAATGATTTGCAAAATGCTCAGTGTATTGTAAATTAGTTTATGACCCAAGTACAGTTTTGTATAAAAGTCTGAGATGTTTTGATATATCATTGCTTGCCTTTTTATGTTAAGCTTGTTGCTTATTTAATGTAATTTCGCAAGAAATTAAACACTATCGCACGTTTTATTTTAATTTTGCAGTGAAACCTCCAGGAGATACTGTGGCATCAGCTAGGTTAACTGTAACTTTGTATTAACTGTTTATGTTTAGTTTAAGCTTCTGTATCTTGTCAGGTTGTCATTAAATGTGTTTGCTGTGATATTAGATCATGCTCATCTATTTAATTAATATTCAAATTATACATAACCACGCAGAGATCATCAAAATCTGTCCTAGCAACCAGACAAACCTCTGCACCAAATGTGTAAAAGCTCAAATACGGAAACTCAAAAGAATATTAAAATAAAAATAACAAAACAAATAAGTAAATTCAAATGTATTCAAAATATTTGTGTGAGACTCTAATTTAAAGAGCTCTTTTTAACGATCTCTGAAATAAATTGACAGAGATTCAGAGCACTCTATAGACGATTCTATTATGATTTAGTTTTAAAGTTAAAAGTTAAATAAGAAAAAAAAGCTATTTTTGAAAAAACTGAGCATCTGAAACAAACCTCTAATTTTAATGATTTTTTTCTAACAATTTCTGTAATATAAAACTAAATGAAAACATAATTGTTCATTTATTTAAAATAGTTCTATCATTCAGGTAATTATGTCATTAGGAATAATTTTTATTGACACTAAATTTTATTCATCAATCCAGTTTTCAAGGCGCCAACACGAATGGCATTTCCACACCGAGGAAATGGCACTGAGTAAAATTAAAATTGCCTTTGAAAATTTATGTGCCTTCGATAACATTGTGAATCCACTGGAGATAACCCCTGAGAATGACCATAGATAACCTCCATTAACTACCACTTTACTGTGGAGCAGAGAATGGTCACTCCTAATAGGTTTCACTGTATAATGATATATAAATACTCTGATCATTTAGTTCTAATAAAAGTTTTGGGTTGTTGTTAAATCAACATGCCATCTCTCAATATGTACTCTAACTCTGCATATACACCTAACAATCTAAAATAATTATGCCTCACTGGTTAATATGTCATTGTGAAGGACTGTGGTTCAATCCCCGGTGGCAGCTGGAAGCCCAACTAGCTTCAGATTGATGGATACCAATTTGTCTATGATTATCTTTAAGGATTCCATATGCATTGCTAACCGCACTGCCACCAGCAAGCTTTTGGTCACAAAATTATGGAGTCTTAATCTCCATACCTCCTCTGGCTCTCTATGGGCATTTTAGGTAATGGTTTACATATATGAGGAAATTGAAATCAAAATTCCTTTGGATTGCAGAAACTAGACCTGCTAAACATTGCTTTTTATCCATGAAATCTGATGATCTTAGATTATTCGAAATAAGTAGGACCAAACCTTATTCCAGTTACAAAGGTTCTACTTTCATCAATAAAATCTAACTTACCTGTTACCTTATATATTTTTTAGCAGGAATTGTATCCATGATTGTCAAACTAAACTACACCAGTGAATAAGTGGATTAAAAAAACAAAAATATAAAATTTTCTGATTCCTTTACTAAAACAGTATCTTTGACCATTCAAACTTTATTTTTGTTGGATTTCATTGCCACCTGTTTGAGTCACAAGGGTTCTACTTACTGAACATCTACTTTCATCTATAAAATCTAAATTATGTATTAGGTGAAATATTTTTTTTAGCAGAAATAGTATCCATAATTGTCAAACTAAACTACACTAATGAAAAAGTAGGTTAAAAAATTTAAATTTTCAGATTCCTTTACTAAAACAGTAATATTAGACCATTAATGGTTCTCTCTGTCGCAACTTTAATATTGGTTTGATTTCATTGCTGCCTCTTTTTGATTGGCTTACATAATGTGATGCCAGTGCTCTTAAAGGTTGTCGTTTTCATTTTAAATTTCACTACAAAGAGTAATTTTTTAAATAAAGTACATTTATTGAGAATTTTGGCTCTTTATTGCGTTTGCTTAATAGCATTAAATAAAAAATAATTTTTTTTGTATGTGTCTTTAGATTATTGTGGATGTTCTAAGTAACTCAGTATGACATTTATAACAATGGAAAATCTCTTCTCTGTCTCTTTTGAACGATAATTTATGCGCTTTTGTCTGACCAAAAATAAGTTCCGCAGTGGACTGATTGTAAAGAAACGCTTCCCAGCAGAACACCGAGGTCAAGCATCACTTTCTGCTGTCAGTAAACGGGTGGGTGACCACTCTGATCAACCTGCGTAGAGACCGAGGTTGCACGTTATAGGTCCTCATTAAACTGTTCTACCATAAAGTGCTCGACTTCCCACATGCAGGTTGTCGACTACCAAAGCAGGGAAGCCTTCCTCTCTGAAGAGGATCAAAATTTGGGAGAGGAGAGGATGTTTCTTAGACTGTCGCCTATAGCCCATTGTGCAGCTCTAGTGCAACGTAAATAAAATACCTACCTGACTGAAAATAAATTAACTTTAGTTGAAGTTAGGATACGTACAAAATTTGACACAGTCGTTACTTAATCATAGATCCATAAACATTCCTCTCCCAAACTGTATGTAAAATACAGGAACACTTCTAAAATGAAAGTGATAAATAGCTAAGTTCCTTCCTAGATTTTAAGGTGAAAGCTAAATGAATAGTGTATCTGCCATCTATGTTTATAAATCAATTTATATTTTATTATTAGTAATTTATAACTTTACATTTTATTTTACTTTACTTTTTAAATTTAAACTATTTTGCATTTAAAAGTAAAAAAAGTTTAACTTCCAAATAAGTCTCTCCTCTCTCTTTAATTTCAGATGCTCTATTCTTTGAAGATGATCCTCCAAGGTAAAACACTCTCACTCATTGCACTATATATAAATTTGATGAAAATATGTTTTTAATAAATTGTTACCTTTTTTTCAGATCCAAAAGACAAAAAGCAGAAAGAGCACGACATGCTTTGCGGCAAACCAAAGACTTCTTTCCCCGTAAGTGTTTTTTCTCAAATTAAACACAATTATTACTAAATGCATCCCTGGTGCCTCCTACAATGAGGAATAACCGATATTTTTACCTATATGATTAAATTTAATATGATTTTTCTCCCTTCTAATTACATTCCTAAAAGTGAACAACATGTTTTCTTTTCTTTTTTTTCCTTAACATTTTATATTATTCCTTAATATTTATATACACAACGTTAGTGGAAGTGACAAATTTTTCATTTAAGGGCTCTACTTTCATAAAAACAGAAAGGTGTCTGCCATCTATTTAAAGCCAGAACTTATGTTATTAAAAGCTTAAGGTTCCCATAGTTTAATTTTTAAAAATGTTAGCCCCTGAACAAAACATGGAAATTTATACTTTTTAAGATTCAGTTTTTGTTAGTTTTTTTTAAAAAAAATCAAGCAAATCAATGTAGCTTTAATATTGACATTTTTTATTTTTGCAAAATCTTCAAGTTATTTTTCTTTAACTGTTAAACACTTACTTTTTTTATTGTTGCAAAAAATATTTCACAAAATTTTAAGGGCCAAAACTGAAGATCCTCTGAAATTTTTAAAGAGACACATCAATTTACAAGTGGGAATATTTTTTGTGGAACAAGTGAATAAGTGCCGTGTTTTACTCGTTTCACAAAAAGTATTTCCACTTGTCAATTGATGTGTTTTTTCTCAAAACTTCAGACCATCTGCAGTTTTGAAACCCTAAAACTTTGAGAGAAAAATTTTTTTTGCAAAAATAAAACAAAAGTATTTCCACTTGTCAATTGATGTGTTTTTTCTCAAAATTTCAGACCATCTGCAGTTTTGAAACCCTAAAACTTTGAGAGAAAAATTATTTTTACAAAAATAAAAATAACATGTGTAACAGTTTTACATGAAGAAGATATACTGAAAATTTTAGGAAAAACAAAAATGTCAAGTATCCAATCCTGCCAGACTCTTAAAAATATTATTTTCAGAAACATAAGCTTTGCAGGTAGTTAAATACTTTAAAGCTTTATTTCAAAGTTTGTCTCCTAAATGCACTTGTATCGTAAAAGTTGAAGGATTTACCTATCGTATTTTACTTCTTTAAGTTTATATTTGTCAATTTATTAAAGAGTCACATAGGTTTTTTAAAAATTAATTTGCTTAAATATTAAAGTCCATTTATACTGCACTTATATAAAAAATAATATATGCAAGTAAAAATGATTTTAAAAAGATAACTTTTTTTGATCTAAGACATAAGATAACTTTTAATGCCCTGGATAACTTTTTTTGATCTAAGTAAAAGCAAAATAGCAGGCAGCATATGCACTTTTTGAGGAAACTTTTTTCCTAGTGGTAGGGAAATAAATATTACATTGATAACTGCAATTGGAAATTTTTCAAATTTTGTCTACTCTTAAAACTTAAATCAATTAGATACAGTTGTGGTCAGAATGTCATTTGAATTAAAATTCATGTAGTCAAGAATGGAATATCAAAGCATAAATTTTGCCACATCTTTAAACAAAAATCTTCCTGTATAACCCAGAGTTGGTAGATATATGCTTCTTTGAAAAAAAAATTTCGTATAAATTGTTTGTACTATTTTTCATAGTTTTGTAAATGTGCAGTTTTTTTTTTAATATTTTAGGTTTTATGCTGACAAAAAAATTTGATGAAAGCATAAACTTAATGTTTGAGATCCTCCAATATCCACTTCTTAATAAACAGGTAAATTGGTCTTCCAAAAAAATTCTTCTGTATTAATTTGAAAAGGTTTTTGTTTCATCTCTTTTTTTATTTAGTTCCTACTAACTTTATTAATCTAAGTATAATTTGATTATTATTCTAGAGTAGTGTAAGTCAGAAATATGTTAGTGTGGCTTCAAATAGATTTTTTATTGCCATAAAAAAATCGATGCTTTATTACTTATCAGAGATGATTATGCTCCGGAAAAATCTGGATTTTTTGCTAGTTGTGATACGGAAATCCAAATTCCAAAAATTTCAATAAATCATTGATCGCATTTAGGTATAAAAGTTCTTGTATATTTTATTTAAATATATTAGAACTACAATTTTTACTTGGCATCTCTCTCATTTGTAAATATTTTTTCTGGTTGAATAATTAACATGATTATCAACAAATGTTAACTTATACATAATTATTAATTTAAATTATGCTGCAAATAATTTATTTCATATTGGAAAATATCAATGATTTAAATTTATAAAGACATTAATTTTTTTAAATGCATCATTACTGATTTTACTCAAGAAATTTTCGGGATTTTTGAGTTGGAATCACAATTACCCCTCCTTTATGGAAAAAACTATCTGAATCTATGTTCTTCATATGGAATGCAAATTTGTAAATAATTTATGAAACGGTATTATTGAAAACTCTAAAACCATACATTAAACTGAAAAGCTAATTATGAAATTCAAAATTAATACATTTCTCTTTATTATTCTTTATTTCTCTTCTCAGAATTTTACATTAATATATTTTATTTTATTACCGATATTGAACAGCTGACCCAATTTTGCATTTACGACTACTAATGTTCGACTCCGTAACCTTGTAATTTTGAACCCAATCCAGAAAGCAAGGGTACTTCTGAATCAGTAAACCCAGAGGTATTGATTTGTTATGAGAACTTGAAGGACTTTATGACACTGGGGGGATTTAACGTACACCAGTCATCATTTAATACACAGGGATTCGACTCCTGATCTCACAAATGTGAGTGCAACGCCCCATCAACCAGGCCATTCTGGCTTACGCATTAATGTAATAAGGAAAACATATCTTCAGAACCTAAACTCATAAAAAATATTAGCATTTACGGTTAATGCCATTTGATAATGAAATTTATGCCTTAAAGCGATCAGGGTCAACTCGTGATAGTCAAGTTTTTAATGTTATAAATCAATTTTCTGGTTAATTGTCACTTCAGTATGTAATTTTTTTTAATATCAGTTGCTATTGGCTCCTTGTAATTTTGGTTTAAAGAAACATGTTTCAAGTGTAACTATAAACTAAACAAACATGTGGTTTCCACTAGTTTTCCAAATACTACTTTGTTGAAGTTTCCAGTACGTGCCATTTAATTTTTCACCTGAACTACATGCAACAAACTCTTAGTGAAACTCGTTTTTAATTAAACTGAGCTATATGTTAGCATACAGTTGTCATTAAAACTCTGAGGTTGTCTTTGAAATAATTAAACACAAGTGATCTGTAGTTTAAATTGATACAGCGCAGAATGGTAATTTTAAAGAATTGGGATTAACTATTCTATTCATATCAATTTTCCAAATTTCAAGATCCTAACACAAACTGTTCTAGAGTAGTGAGAGAGGCACATACCTTCAAATTCTTTCATTTATTATTTTAGTTGTCTACATTTTCCTAACTTCCTAACTTGTTACTGTTTTTCTTTGATCTATCCATAATGAAACTCTTATAAACCTTTTCATGAAACATTGATTTAATTAAGCACTTTCATTTTATTCGTTTGTAATTGTAATGTGTATACCAGTAGTCTGAACTAATGTACTAATAGCAACAAAACTACTGTATTCGCTACTTTTGTTTTAGTAATTTGTAGCGTAATGAGCTATGTTGAAAATAAAACAGTATGTTGTGATTCTTGCCAACTACTTGTTAACAGTAGTTCAGTGAAGAAACGAAGTTCAAATGCAAATAATTTTTAAAATCTGATTGGTGCAAATCAATCAGCTTGTGCAGTGACAGAATGATTTCAAAATGAGAATTATGCACTTGACTTTAATCTAACCATCATGTAGAATGATTAGCATTTAATCTAGCCATTGTGAATAACAGCTAATTTCTTACTTTACCTATAGTATATATCTATACGTATGTGCACCCATAACCAAATTAAATGAATATGTGAGTATTATTTTAATTAGAGATGAACTTTGCTATTTAATTTTGGCTATAGCTTTACCTCTTTGAGAAAGTTAAATGTTTAAAACACTGGACAAAATCACAAGTATTTGATTAGTTTCTAGCATTTCTTAAATTAAATAATCCTATCAAGAACAGTATAAAAAATAAAAAATTCGTCAAAAAGAGTTTTGAATAATTGATTGACTTGTTTTAACATCTCTTCTCGTTTATATTATTCAATTTATTATTCTAAGCCATTATTTATAAATTGTATAGATTGCTTGTAGTCTGCCACTGTTTTAATAAGTGTAAATTGATTCCTTCAGTAAAATTTATCTCTTAAAAATAGTTAAGTAATGACTATATTTCAAAAGTAGTTTGTAACGAAATATAGAAAAATATTCATGGTTAACTACAAAAAAAAGTAATTTTTCAAACCACTAGTGTATATTATGAAAAAATGTTACAGATATCTTATGTGATGCTGGATATTTTGGCCACTGAACTATTTCCGGAGCTTTTAGAAATGCACAGAACTGAATCAAGAACCTCTTTTGTTCAATAGTTGCAACTGATGTGTCAACATTCCTAACTGACTAGTCTTTTATATTTATCATGTATATAAGGTGAAATTTGTTGTCTCGACTCTATTAAATTTATTCTTTCACATTATATTTCGTCTCTTTTTCTTATTGTCTGAAAAGAATTTGAATGCATCGTTGTTAGACTCTTTTAGAGCCCTTGATTATTTTCCATCTGTGGTGCCTTGTTGGAAAAATACAATTTTTTTCCAGTATTAATGAATTTTTTTCCTTTTTAAATTTTATTCCTTAATATGAACAGCTTAACGTTTTTTTTTTCCTTAAAAATTTTATATCTTTGTTTAATTGTATAAACACAACATTAATGATCCTAAATAATCATCTAAAAATCATAAATGCTTAAAAAAATCCTACTTAATTTTTTATAGATTTTGATATTTTTTGTGGAAATCCCAAGGTAATTTTCAAATTTTTAGTGATAAATGAATTTTTTGAAACTTGAAATATTTAAAATTTTAGAAAAAAATCGCTTGAATATCACCAGCACGTATCCCTTGAAGTGCTGAAAATAGCTCGTCCCACACTCATATCCGCTCCGAATGTGCCATGAAATAACTTATTTGATAATAGATTTAAAGACAACTTAATCTTCCACTGTTTTTATTCCTTTCAAAACATACTAAGCATAATTATGATTTTTATGCCTTTGTTACCATTGAAGATACAAATTTGATTGTCTCATAAAATCACCCCAATAAAAGCTTAAAATTCACTTTTATTTATACAGTTTAATGTATTACTATTTGATTTATTAAATTCACTCAATTCATGCAATAACCATATATGGCAACGTTACTTTTAAAAAGTAACGAGTAAAAGTACAAGTATTTTTAAAAAAAGTAACGAGTAAAAAGTAAATATCTTGTATTTTAAAAAGTA